AGGGCAGTTGACCCAAAAAAAAAAAAAAAAAAAAAAAAAGAAAACAGATTTGGAATTTTTCAGTGACTTTAATCTGTTTTTGCAATCCATATTGAAATTAGTTGAATTATATAGTGTGCTTTTTGTTGTTGTTAATGTGCTTTTTGACCAAGGACCTTGAATTTCAGTTTTGTTAGTGAGTACTACTACCCAGAACCTTTTTTTTTAATAAATCTTTTATTTAATTGCAACATTAACCATTAACTTGTTTTAGGCAAACAAAGAATTACTATTATTTATTTATTTATTTATAGCTGCATTGGGTCTCCGTTGCTGTGCTTGGGCTTTCTCTAGTTGTAGTGCATGGGCTTCTTACTGCATTGGCTTCTCTTATTGTGGAGCACAGGCTCCAGGTGCACGGGCTTCAGTAGTTGTGGCACGTGGGCTCTGTAGTTGTGGCTCACGGGCTCTAGAGCGCAGGCTCAGTAGTTGTGGCGCATGGGCTCAGCCGCTCTGCGGCATGTGGGATCTTCCCGGGCCAGGGCTCGAACCCGTGTCCCCTGCACTGGCAGGCAGACTCCCAACCATTGCACCACCAGGGAAATCCCCAGAACCTTTTTTTATGGATTTACTTTTCTAATACTTTTATACTGACTTAGTTAGGCATAAATGAGTTCTTTTTTTCTTTTTTTAATGTAGTAAATTTTTTTCGCTTTATGGCATTTTGCTATCCAGAAGCTTGTGTTATCAATTTGATTTAAAAGACATTAAGTCTAAAGGTACCTTGGCTTTTGAGCTGAACTGAAAGACATTTTTTTCTTTATTCTGAATTAAGATTCTCAGTGTCCTTATGCTACTTTTTTAATGGTAAAATGGCTGAAAAATAATTCTCTTGCTGTGCACGTGTCATTTCTTATTTTCCAATAGAATGTTCTTTTTTCGTTTGAATTTCGGGGGAAATACATAATAGACTATTTCATTGCCTTCTAAGTGCAGTGTGATTTTAAAGTTCTCGTTGGGCTTTGATAAAGGTATATAAAAGTACAGGTTGCTACATTTAATTAAAAATGACATTACAGGGACTTGTGGTGCAGTGGAAATACATAATAGACTATTTCATTGCCTTCTAAGTGCAGTGTGATTTTAAAGTTCTCGTTGGGCTTTGATAAAGGTATATAAAAGTACAGGTTGCTACATTTAATTAAAAATGACATTACAGGGACTTCCCTGGTGGTGCAGTGGTTAAGAATCCGCCTGCCAATGCAGGGGATACGGGTTCGATCCCTGGTCTGGGAAGATCCCACATGCCACGGAGCAACTAAGTCCGTGCGCCGCAACTACTGAGTCCTGTACACCTAGAGCCCGTGCTCCGCGGCAAGAGAAGCCACCGCAGTGAAGCCCGCGCACCGCAACGAAGAATAGCCCCCACTCGCCACAAATAGAGAAAGCCCGCATGCAGCAACAAGACCCAACACAGCCCAAAATAAATAAATTAATTAAAAATAAATAAATAAATAAAATGACATTACATGTGTCCTTTTTAATATATACCCTGTGTTCTTTTACCCTGCCGGGTGGAAACAAAATTGGCTAATTTTTTTCCTCATTCTCTGTTAACTAAATCGTCAACCTATATGGTTGTGAGGTCTCACTGGACACTGGATATGATTGGTTAAATCAATTCAAATGGAAAAAAAATAGGGATTAGAAAAGAATAATTAACGTAGGTTATGGGACTATTTTATTTTGTTTAAGCAGAGAACATTTTCACTTTTGGCTTGAGACCAAATCATTGTTTTTACCATGGAGTCTATGTCTACTTTGTAAACAGGAATCTTAACTAAATGAATCTTTTTGCCTATATATCAAAGTTTCAAGTTCACAAAGTGATAAATTTAGAATTATCTTCTGTCATTGTGTTTATGAGACAGAGAATTGTAAGTAATATAAGTTCTTTCCTTTTGCTTGAAAAACTTCATGTTGCTTTTGAAAACTGCAAACATACCTTAGGTAATACAGAAACTTGCCAGTGAGATAGAGAGAGACTAAAGGACTAACCAGAGGCACACATTTATGCAGAAAAAATAGGGATCAGATGAGGTAATACACATGAAATAAGTGTCCTAGAGTTTCCAAAATGTTAGTTTCTCTCTTGAAATGCATTCAAGTACTTCCTGTTTTTTATTTTTATAGAATTAAAGTCAAGGAAGTCCTTAAAAGGGAAAAGAAGAAGTCGCATACAGCCAGCCCTATAGAGAATGGAAGAAAGTCATATGTAGAAGTATGAAAAGGGGTTACTTCGGGGGGATATCAGTTTAGACTTTTGTTGTTCTTGTTTTAATCAGTGTAACTATTTAATCAGTGTAACTAACTTTTTCTTTGTCTGGAGCAGTTGGACTCACCCAAACCCACATGGGGCAGCTCTTCCTTGAAAGCACATGAAAGCATTAGCAAGGAAAACTAGACCTAAACCTTGCACTTAGCAGATACCCTCAGCAATTTAGTTAGAATATCCTCTAATGCCTACAATGATAGCTGTTAAGTTAGGAAAGACCTTAAATCCTTTGTGGGATAATATAGAAGTCCTTTTGGGTCCCAGGATAGAAATGTGGGCATCAAACACCAGCATCTGGAAGTATGGGTGAATAAACTCAACAGTCCTTGGGTGCACCCAGGTGTTGATGGCATATGCATGCACTCCTGTTCAGACATTCACCATGCTTATTCCCTTGTGTGCAGTTCTGTGCAGAGTGCTCTGGATAAATAATTGATTACCTCAGTTCTCATTGTAGCTGTTTTGTTGGAAAAGATAGTTTTCACAAAGAAACTTCAGTTTTTGGCATCCCTGGCAGTTACCTCTAAACTGTAAATGTCAGAGCGAAAACAACAATAACAATTTTTTTCAAAGAACAGTGAAATAATCGTTAAAGAATTAAAGAATTGTAATATAATTTTAGGACTAGGTTCACATGTATCCAAGGAAAGGGGCTTTGGCAGAAGTTATCTGTATTAGAGCTGAAAGGAAAAGAGTGTAGAGACTTAAAGGCCTCAAGCCTTGTCCTGTCTTTGGGTGGACCTGTACCTTGTAGATGTTGCAGGCCGCCCAGTGGGGAGGAAAGCCACTGGTTAGAGTTTTGTATGCCCTTTCTTTGAAACTGACACTGTTCTTTTTTGTCCCCCTTTTTGTGCCTCCCTCTCTAAGCCCATTTTCAATCTGTATTTTTAAGATTTCTT